CTAGATTCCCTTGTCTTGGAGGTTCTATGGATTCTCCTATGAGGTGGTTGATAATGATCTCCTTAAGCTAGGCTATCATGCATTGACTCTCCTAGTGTGGAATTATGGGCGTATAAGCTATGTTGACCATGATGTTTCTTTTTGTCTTTTTCCTTTAATAGACGAATTTCCTCCTCCATAAGAGCAATTTGAGCTTCTCTTTCCAATTTTTCTCTAAGTCTTTGTTGTAATTCTTGCTCTTTCTATATCTTTAGTGATCTTAATTCACGTGATAACTTAGCAAAATCTTTGTTATCACTTGAATTAGTATCACTATGAGGAGTAGAAACTTCTTCCATTATAGGTGAAAGGTTCTTTTTGAAGAAAGAAGTTTGAAAAGCAATTTTTTTTTATGCAAGGTTAAGACTAAGTACTTGGAGGATTATGTATACAAATTGAACTTTGGAGGGAGGTGAGCTACTAGGAGCCACTTAAAAACCAAGCCTCTTCAAGTAAAAATTACTAATCCCCTTTGTAGTTAATCTCTACCAAATTCTTTTCAATGAAAATTATTTTTGATGTTTTATGAACTATGATATACTAGTCGTGAAAAAGCAATTAAAGACAAGTATTAAGCAAGAATTTAAACTACCTAAACGTGTCCTAGGGTGAGAGCTTGAGAGATACCAAAGATCAATCAAGGACCACTCCCACCAAGTACTAACGAAAATGGTAAACTTAAGGAGAGATGGTTGTGTACCAAAGACACTCCCAAGACACTCCTTGAAATGGCCCAAATACAAGGTATGAATCAAACCGAAAAGCAAAGAACAAGTGGCTTAAAGTAATGTATGAAAACAACCACCAAGAATTAGTGATGGATTAGTGACTAAATTTGAAAACAAATTTTCAAACTAGTAAGGAAAATTAGTCACTAAAATCCGTCACTAACACTTATATATATATATTTTTTAAAACAATTACAAATACAATTCAATTTGAATCTCCACCAATCTTCACGGTTTGGTCCAGTCCAGCCATCACAAATTTCCAGCCAAAGTGTATATAGTGTTTATGTTTGAAGTTTTCCAAAACCGAGAGCCACCTATGATCCTTTCCTCCTCCTTTCCTTAGGCTTCTTTTGATGACCCTTGTAGAACTAGCTTCTAGGAAGATAGGCTAGGTCAAACTTAGGCCACACTTTGATGTTAATCAAATATAAGAACAGCAAAGAGTATTGATGGAGTAAGAAAGACAAGAGTAGATTAAGAGATGACAAATTTAGATGACACAAACAAGTAGGTGACTAAACAAGAAGGAATTGACCTAGAATAGCTCTAGAATGGATGCACAAAACCAAAACACTCAAAGACAAGTAAGCTGAAAATTTTTTGAGTCAATAACAATTTCAATCCGAGAAGATCACATGCAAATTCAAACTCCTTAATTGGCTTTTTCTCTTCAAATTTATGTTTAGCATTTTTTTTAATCACTTTTGTTTTGAAATTCTTTTTGATCTTTCTTCTAATTTTTTTTTAAAACAAATAGTACTTGCCTTTTTTTCTTTCAACTTTAATGTGTCAAAGAGTCTCGGTCACTTTTATAGGACACCAAAACCGGATTCAAAAATAAGTGCCAAATGACAAGCCAAATTAAGTGCAAATTCAAGTCAAATGAGTCATGCTTTTTATGCTTGTAAACTAAGAAGGCACATGCACGGTTTTAGGCTCCAAAATTCAAATTCAAAATTGGACTACAAACACAAATTCAATCACTTCTTTAGACAACAAAGATCAAACACACTCACGGACAAAGGAAAATTTCAAAACATTTTCAGATTTTGGAAACCTAAAATTCTAAGAAAACTACTAATGATCTAATAGTAGTTCATGAACTCAATTAAAAAAAAATGATGAGCTTATACCAAACACTTATGGATCTCGGCCAAATCCAGAAAAAAATTGATTCAAATTTCACAAAGAAAAATTCCAAAAGGATCAACAAGCAATGCTAGGAATTATGAACATATAAAGGACTACGCAACCCTACTAAACATGGATTCAAAAATAAAATGACTCAAGCATGTAATGACCGAATAAAATTTCAAATATCACTCAAATAAAGTAAAAGGATCATAGGCAGAAATTTCCTAATATGCAAAATAATGGAGCATGATTCATGGAAGCATATAGTCATAGACGCATAGATGAATCATTCAAGCAACAAGAAACTAGATCCATCAATTTTAAGACAAGAAAATAGATCTAGGAAGGAATCAACTCTAAAGTGACAAAAACTCAAGATGAACACAATGAACAAAAGATGAACACAATCCAATCACGGATCCACACTTCAAAAGACAAGAAAAAGTGACTTATCTCTTGAAGAACCCAAAGCTCTAGATACCACTTGATGTGCTTCCACTTGGATGCACATAGGAAGAAACTTCAAGTCTCCACGGATCCTTGGAAGGAACGTCAAGGATGGAAACTCCAAGAAGACTCAAGGTGGCCGTAGCTTGCTCACAAGCTAAGTTCCAAAGAAGTAAGGCAACCTAGCTCTACAAAGAGAAGCACTCAAGAAGGGTAGAGAAGGTAACCAAAGTGACTTTTGGATTAACTGAATGAGTTTTCAATACTTGAAACCTCTCCCTCCCAAAGTCACTTTGGCTACCTTCTCTACCTTCCTTGAGTGCTTCTCTTTGTAGAGCTAGGTTGCCTTACTTCTTTGGAACTTAGCTTGTGAGCAAGCTACGGCCACCTTGAGGCTTCTTGGAGTTTCCATCCTTGACGTTCCTTCCAAGGATCCGTGGAGACTTGAAGTTTCTTCCTATGTGCATCCAAGTGGAAGCACATCAAGATCTTTCATGGAAATTAAGTCACGCTTAAGTCGGAGTACAGTTGACATCGTCGACACCGCAAAATTTTACGAGAAAAACGTGTTTGATATAGGCATCCCCATAAATTATTTTCATCCTAAAAATACACGAAGACATAGAAAGATAAAAATATCATTAGTATTTAATTATTTGCGTTCACAGAATTAATCTCACAGCCCAACACATAATATGCTAATTCAAAAAATCTCTACTTCACTTAAAGATGGACCAAAAAAAATAAATACTATTTATTTATCTTATACGACACAACGTAAATGGCACCAATGGGGAAAAGTTAGTGCTTCGGTAGTTGAATCTCATCTCATCTCATCTAATCTAATCCCAAATCCATTGGGGGAAACCCAGTGCTTATCCATGTTCTCACTCGTTAGTTAGTTCTCACTTTCCAAATCCCAAACCTTCCCATCAACCTCATTCAAACACACCAAAACAAAACGAAAAAAAACCCAAAATGAGCGTTGTGAATCTCAACGCATGGGCACGCCCCAGCTTCATTATAAATCAAGCCACGAAACCCAAATCCTGGGTTCTGTTTCACGGCGTTAATAACTCGCACCTTTCCACCGTTATTAAACGGCGAAGGAGGGTGGCTTCGATCTCGGTCTCCGCCGTTTTGACGAGAGAGGACGCCGTGGAAATGGAAGAGAAACCGGCGTTCAACTTCGAGTCCTACATGTTGAACAAAGCGGCCGCAGTGAACAAGGCCCTAGACGACGCCGTTTCGCTCCGCGACCCGCTGCGCATCCACGAGGCCATGCGCTACTCGCTCCTCGCCGGCGGGAAGCGCGTGCGCCCGGTGCTCTGCCTCGCCGCCTGCGAGCTCGTCGGCGGAGCGGAAACCACCGCGATGGCCGCCGCCTGCGCCATAGAGATGATCCACACCATGTCGCTCATCCACGACGACCTCCACTGCATGGACAACGACGACCTCCGCCGCGGCAAGCCCACCAACCACAAGGTCTTCGGCGAGAACGTCGCTGTCCTCGCCGGTGACTCCCTCCTGGCCTTCGCCTTTGAGCACGTCGCAATCGCCACTCCGGCGACCCCGACGAGCTCCTCGGTGCAGATCATCCGCGCGATCGGCGAGCTCGCGCGGTGCATCGGCACCGAGGCCCCCGGCCAGGTCGTCGACATTAATTGCGAGGGCCTGGCCGATGTGGGACTCGACCGGCTGGAGTTCATTCACATCCACAAGACCGCCGCGCTCCTGGAGGGCGCGGTGGTCCTCGGCGCCATCCTGGGCGGTGGCGCCGATGAGGAGGTGGAGAAATTGAGGAAGTTTGCTCAGTACATAGGGTTGCTGTTTCAGGTTGTGGATGATATTCTTGATGTTACAAAGTCTTCCCATGAATTGGGGAAGACTGCAGGGAAGGACCTTGTGGCTGATAAGGTTACTTACCCCAAGCTTTTGGGGCTTGAGAAATCTAAGGAGTTTGCTGCGAAATTGAACAAGGATGCTCTGGCTCTGCTTGCTGGGTTTGACCCTGTTAAGGCTGCTCCTTTGATTGCTTTAGCCAACTATATTGCTTATAGGCAGAACTAGAGTCTCTTGGGTTGCGTCCGTAATAAACAATTGTTTTCTTAGGGAAAATCTAGATTTATGAAAAATAGTTGGACTTACAGTTACTTGTTGCTTGCAACTAGGGACTATAAAATGATGCCCCTGTGCTTCTTAGTTGTCATTTTAGTATGATGCAAAAATATTAATTTGTCATTAAATATTATTTCTTTTTCAAGTTCGTTGACTTGCTCATGCAATTTGTTTTTCTTTTTTATTCCGTGTGAAGTGAAGAATTCTGGAACTTGAAGGTGTATCATGTCATGAGTTGTGGCTTGTTGTAAGGTTTCCGTTTTTGTTCTCCTTGTTGAGAGTTTGCTAATAATCTGGTCTGGTGGATGCTTTGTTGGGGATAATCGAACACTTTTTGTGTAATTCTATCTGGGTATATTCGAACATGGTTCTTTCTGCTGTTTAATTTTCAGCAGAGAATGAATGCTCAGTCATGTTATTAGAGGGTGCTGAAGCAATCAGTTTGGTCTTTAACCTTGGTTAGGCTTTTTATGTAATTCATATCAGTTGATTATTATCCGAGTTTTGCAATTAAGTAGAATCAAACATCTTGTTCTTTGTGCTGTTTCAATTTAAACCCGTATCAGATACTCCTCAGGTGGACAAGATCAGACGTTGCAAAGCAAGGAATATCAAATTTGTTAGCTGTAAATCGTGTTTTACAAATTTAGTGTCGGCTTGTTTTCCAGTTCAGTAAGCAGGGCATGATTTTCCAAGCAATATCAACAGTTTAAATTGAGTTTGGCACGAATTCGGGGGCATGTCGTTCACTCAATCAAACCTAATCGATTCTATGGCTGACTTTGAAGTGGCCTTTTCACATGATGTTGCTGTATATGTATGTTAGGCAAAAGAATGGTATCTTTCGAAAGAAGCTGATACTTGACTCTATTTGACTCGAGTAGTAGTGGGAACCTTGTGCTTTTTGGATGATATTTATTTATTATGCAACTCTAAACTTTGGTTGCTGCAAGGCACTTGGAAGGGTTGTAGAGGGGCCAACTATAAAACAATTTGTCACCATATTTATCAGAATATTTAGAAACTGGGGTCATGTAGTTGGAGATGCTGACATTCAACTTATATTCTGTCTTCTATATTAAAATATAGGATTAATAGTACCTTACACGCAATTGATTGAACTTTATACTAATGTTAACCTTTCTCTCCGTGCATTTAAACAGTAACTTCTTTGCCATAGTTCATTAGTAATTCGGATGTCTCGTCTATATTATAGTCGTATTCATTGTTCATTGGGGTTTCCTTTTTTTTTTTTTCCCTCTTCCTTCTTTGACATGGGAATGACAGATTGCACTACAGTACATGATAATCCCTTGCATCATGGGCGATTCCCTTGTGGTATCCTCCAAGTCCATATTAAAATTTTGGTATGTGGGTGAAGGAAATAGGATCGCAATGTTTTATACCGGTTCCATAAGCTTAGTCTACGCGTCCCTACCTTTTCTTTATTAATTAGTTTAGATATTTTGAGAGTAGTTCAGTTCAATTATTTTAAAGGTTTTAAGAGTATTTCAGCAAATTTTAAAAAGTTCCCGTTCAATTTATTTTGCCCACTATAGCTATGAACACGAACCTCGCTATTATTAGCCACTTTAATTTCCCACCACTTTACACCCTTGTTATTTTATTTAGTGCTTATCAGCAAATCATGATCATTTGACCCTAGGCACCAAATATATATAGAGAGAAGGGATTTATTTATTCTAGGAGTAAGTTTACCTAAACTTATTCTATTCAATAATTCATGTTCTACATCAAATTTCAACAATCTAATCATTGAATTCAAAATTCTTAATACATAGTGTTCTTACTGAGAATTTGTCGTAGAGATGATCCTCCAAGTAAGATTGGTGAGCCTCTTTCGCTGGTACGCTTGATGCTCCAAGATGGGGGTGGTACCTGCAAAAGAGACTCTAATGCTAAAGTTAGGATTTGTATGAGTATATGTCTCGTATAAGTAATGCACGTACCTTAGTGTAAATTAGGGTTGCGTTGGGCCTTGGGCCTGAGATTAGTTGTGATCTAATTAGATAGCGGATCTCGTCTGGACCGAGATCTCCTAAGATCAGTTATGATCTGGTTAAGTGACGAGCTAACGTCACAAAGCGCGTATCTGAGGTCGCTACGCGTTGTGATGCCGAGCCGGGAGCTCGGTTTTGCAGTACGGATAGTACACTAGCCCCCCGAGCTCCGAAGACCGTGGTTCGAAGAGTTAAGACCGAGCTCGTCAAGTAGCTGTGACCCTTTGCGTACGCCTGCTTGTTGAGATGTCGTGTGTCATAACTGGTCATTTCCGAAAACGTGCAAGTGGCGCGTTAACGGGAGTGACGGTTATGTAATGATGGTTTGCATTTGTCATAATGGTTCTCAATTAATGTGCCGTCATACGTGCCCTTAGGCTGACACGTGTCGTGACCGTTTTGAATTTGGGAAAAACCCTTTTCTCTCCCTCGCGCCTCTTCCCTTTTCACTTTACTCATTTTCGCTCTTTCAACTTCTTGCGCACGCTGTTTCTCTCGTTTCTGCTTATCCTCCGTCTCCATTTTCTCCGTTTCCACCATCGTTTCCGGTAACCCAGTCATTGTTAGGGTTGTTTTCTGAGGAAGAGTACTAGGTACTTCCTTTCTACAGTTTTCTTTTTCCTTCTTTCCCAATCTTCTTCGAGTCTTTCTTGTTTTCTCCATGGCTGGAGGGAGTGGTGCTGGTTCCTCCGCCCCTGCCAAGGGTAAAGGCAAGGCGCGGGGCAAGGCGACGGCTACCGGAACGGTCGCCGCCAGGAAAAAGAAGGAGGTGGAGCCGCTAACGGACCTCGTTCCAAGCATTCCTGGGTACGACTGGGTTCGGCGCGAGATGGCGGAGGCCCAAAGCGTGTTCCGGTCCTTTCTTGAAGTTAATGCGATCTTGAGATCGTACAGGGTTTGTGACCCTTCCATCTCCCGAATGATCTGGCTTGAACCTTGTCAGGCCGGTGAGGGCGTGTATATGGGGAAGTCTACTGACCCTCCCCATTTCTATGTTTACCAATGTTTCTTCAGGGATTTGGGCGTTTGTCTTCCCTTCACACAATTCGAGTGTGACTTTTTGAATTTTGTCAGCTCGGCTCCTTGCTAGTTGCACCCCAACAGTTGGGATTTTTTGAGCGCTTTTCAAGTCCTGTGTTCGGCCCTAGGAATAGAGGTATCTCTTCCTGTCTTCCTTCATTTTTACCAACTGAAGATAGGTGTTCCGCCTTATGGCGTTCTGTCTCTGAGTGGGAGTAGGGATGGGGGTTTATTCACTCTTTACTCCCAGTCATACAAAAATTATAGACAAGAGTTCTTCCGGGTTGCCCTCGTGGATGTCGACCCCCTGGAGGATGGGGCGTTCTACTTCGGCGGGTTGCCGAAGTTCCCTTTCTATTGGTGCCCCAAACCGTCTAGGTTTCACGGGGTGGGCCAATTGAAATTGACGGCTTCAGAGGCGGCCGCCATTGAGAACCTTACTGCGCTTCCTCGCCCGTTGGATTACAAGCTCGTCTTGTCGCTTGCGAGTTTGGCGTACAAGGAGAGGGGCCTGGAGAGTGAGTATCTCGTCCTCTTTAGACTGTTAGGGTTTGTGAAACCTTCTTTTTCTTATGTGTTTTATTTTCTGTTTGCAGGCATCATGGGGAAGAACAAGTGGCGAGAGCTGAAGCATCACTACAATTTTGCTGAAATTGAGGTCCTCGAGCCTCAAGAGAAGGAGATTTCCCCCTTGAAGGTCAACCGAAAAAGAAATAGGGGCGAGAAAGAGGTCGGGGGGACCTCTGCCCCTCGTGGAACGGAGGAGGTGACCTCCAAAGCCGCTGATGCTGATGCGGTCGACCTCACTAGGAGCCCTCCGTCTGGGGAGGCTCCCCAAATGGTCGCTACGGCGACTGCTGAGCAAGTTGCTCCTTCTGCCGAGGTAAGTGTCTCGTTTTCTTTAACTTTTCTTCTATGTCGGTTTTGCTTTGTTTATTGATGCGCTGTTGCTCTTTGCAGGCAGGGATAGCTGCCGAGGTGGAGGCCCCGGTTGCTGAGCAGGTCGCCCAGGCCACCGTGGTGAGTACCTCACTTTTCATTTTTTCCTCTATCTTGTATATTATTCTTTTTCCTTTTTTGACATGGCACTGGTTTTTGCAGGCAGGGGATGCTGTCGAGGTCCAGGTGCCTCCGAGGTCGGAGGTGCCAGGCGTGGATCCTCCTATTGTTGAGCAGGGGACGCCAGTTTTTGCCTCTGTTGAGGCTCGCGGCAAGGGGCCGAGTCTCGAGGTTCCCACAACTACGCCTGCAACCTCGGCGGCGCCGTCAAGTTCATCGCAGGGGGCTTCCCAGAGCCAATACATAGCTCACCGTTTTGGGAAGGGCCTCACCCAGGTGCGATTGGACCACGTGAGTGCCTCGGCTGACATGAACTCGTTGTGGAGTTCCGGGGTGACTGCCGATAAGTTCTTCCCCCGAGGTTCGCTGAGCTCGGAGGATCAGGGGATGATCGAAGAGGTCGGACCCGTGGAAGGCTTTGACGCTGCTCAGGTCCTTCTGTAGAGGGCTATGGCCATTGTGGACCACTGGAAGCATAGGTGGTCCAAGCAGCATGAGGACTTGGTCAGACTGAGGGGCCGAGTTCAACCCCTGAAGGACGAAAACAAGGTCCTGAAGGAGGAAAACAAGGTTCTTAGTGCCGCCCTCGGTGAAGCGAAGTTGCAAGGTGCTGAGCTTCGAGCTGCGAGGGGAGACTTGGTGAGGGTCCAGAAGTCGCTGGAGATTGCCCTGCGCTCCAATGAGAATTACGCCTCCTAGGTGAACGAGCTCCAGGGGCTCGCCACCGCGTCCCAAGGTCGGGTACGTTTCTTGGAAGACGAGGTGACATCTTCCCATGGTCGAGTTCGCTCCTTGGAGGATGAGGTGACCTCCCTGAAGAGCGAGCTGGTGGCGGCGGCTGAGAAGCGCCTCTATAACGAGGTTGTCCTTGGCTGCAAAGAGGAGGAGGTCGCCGCTTTGAGAGTGGAGCTGGCGAAGCAGGAGGCGGAGAGGGCGGTGTTGGAGAAGAAGCTTCAGGAAACCGAACGATCTATTGTATTTGAGCTTATAAGATGTTTCTTCAAGGCAGCTCGCCAGGCCAGGCTCCTTGCGCCGGGATTCGACTTCTCTGCCATGTACGTGGAGAAGGTCATCCACTTCGGGAAGCTTGTAAAGGAAGATGACGTCGAGGACAGCTCCAGCGAGGATGCCTCTACGTAGGCCAATTTTGTAATGGCCTGGTTTAACTTTCTCTACTTTATTTTTCTTTTTTGAATTCAAGTGTGGAACTTTGAAAACTTTGCTGTATATATGTGTATTTTTTGTCTATTCGCCGTTGCGCTTTTCTTTGTTTGTTCAATGAAATTCCATACACCTTGATATCTCATAATAACTTGAATTTGTATCTTCCAATTATCATAGTTCTTTGTCGTGAGAATTGGAAGATTCGTGGGAATGGAACCTGATATTGTTTCCATTGCAACAATAATCCCTTCAAGTCTAAAGCCTTTCTTGGCTGCAGGGGGACTTCTTTCAAATCACAACTCTGAATACCAGTTGTTAGAACGTAAAACTCTTTTACGTATGTGTATTGCAAAATGAGAGAAACACAATATTTATACAAGAGATAAGAAAACAGAATAACCAACACAACAACACAGTAGGCAGTAGGTAGTCAAAATAATTACTAGGACAAAAATATGATTTTGTGATAAAATTTTACATCAATTTTATAATAACTAATATAATATATAGAAGATAACATTTTTTAAATAAAAGAAAATATTTTATGTTAGATGCGCTTAACTGACGTTGAAAAGAATTTGTATATCAATCTAAATAAGAAGTGATGTAATACATATTATTTTATATTGGTGGTTACTAGTGGAAAAAAGGTTTTTAAAATCGGTTATTTTCAACTTTTAAAATCGGTTAAATAATCGATTTTAAAAGTTAACTTTTAAGATCGGTTGTTTTATAACCGATCTTAAAAGTCCGGGCTCCAAAAAAAATTAAACTGGAACCGGCCGTTCCAAAACTGAAACGGGCCGTTCCAGGCTGTAAAAAAACTATTTGAAGAACGGACAACAAAACGGCCCGAAGCATCTTATCTTCTAACTTCGATACATATGACAGGAAGGAAGGATTGGTTTGTAAATCTTGATGAATCAATAAAAAGCAAAGTAAAATTTGCTGATGATCGAGTCATGATAGCAGAAGGGGTTGGAAAAACTCTTGTACGTATATGTGTCAAACATCCCGTGTCAAGATACCAGCAATTTTCTCCTCCACCTTCCTTTTGAGTTGTGGTAACCATTAAAAGGACTTGTTCTGAATCGTCATCTTCCACTTCTCGAGAAAATCGGGCTTCGTCCCTTCTAGGATTAGGATACCAACAACTCTTGGCATAGTGACCGAGCTTATTACAATTGTAGCATTTAACGCTTCTTATGTCAACGTTACGCCCTTTCTTTTGTTGATGATCAACGTTCTTTCTAGTATCTTGAACCTCTTTTCCCTCAATTCTGCCTAAATCTTGCCTCGGTTTATCTTTATTTTTCTTTTTCTTCTTTGATACATCCTTTGGGTTAGACTGAGCTTGAAGGGCTTGTTCAACCTTTCTTTCCTCACCCTTTCGATCATCCTTTGTTCATGTGACTCCAAAGAACCTTGAAGCTCCTCAAGACTCAACTCCTCAAGATTCTTTGACTCCTCGATCGCCACTACGATGTGATCAAACTTTGCAAGTAGTGTATGCAACACCTTTTCAATCACCTACAACTCAACTAGTTTTTCCCGAAGACCTCTCATTGTGTTCACAATTGTTTGAACACGAGTAATATACTCAGCTACAGTCTTATTACTCTCCATTGACAAAAGTTCGTATTGCCGCCGTAACGTTTGAAGCTTTACTTTCTTGGTCTTGGTTGCACCACCATGCACTTTCTCAAGAATATCCCATGCCTCATTTGATGTCTCAGCTTTCGAGATCCTCTCAAAGTTGGCTACATCCACACTTTGATGCAAGATGAACAAAGCCTTGCAATCTTTCTTCTCATTCTCCCTATTCGCACCCTTTTGTGCCTCTGTCCCACTTGTTTCGACGTGCTCATAGCTTTGTTCAATGAAATTCCATACACCTTGATATCTCATAATAACTCGAATCTGTATCTTCCAATTATCATAGTTCTTTGTCGTGAGAATTGGAAGATTCGTGGGAATGGAACCTGATATTGTTTCCATTGCAACAATAATCCCTTCAAGTCTAAAGCCTTTCTTGGCTGCAGGGGGGCTTTTTCATATTTGAAGCTTTCCTTTTTCTGGTATTTTTTCTTAAATGCTTCGGCCTTTTCAACATTTGTGAAGCTTGTCTTTTTCTCATGTTGTTTTTGTTTTTTTCTATTGTCATCATTGGCCAAAACGGCCCGTTCTCCATGGAGAACGGGCCGTTCTCATTGCAGAACGGGTCATTCTCCTTGCAGAACGAGTCGTTCTCCTTGCAGAATGGGCCGTTCCAGATTCGAAATTTATCCAAAATGAACTTACAACGAAAATAGAGACAAGAGAAGAGCATGAGAAGACGAAAACGAAAACAAAAACGACAATGAAACTTACCTTATTGGAGACTTTAGAAAATGAGAGTGCGAGAGAGTAAAAAAAGGAATGGGGGGAAAGATTAAAGAGAATGAGAATGGAGGAAAATATAAAAGGTTTCTGACGATACTTTTAAAATCGGTTATTTAAGAATCGATTTTGTATACTACATACAAAATCGGTTCTGAAATAACCAATTTTAAAAGTAGCACTTTTAAGATCGGTCATAAAATAACCGATCTTAAAATTACTTTTAAGATCGTTTAAATTTTAACCGATCTTAAAAGTGTTCATATTATTTACAAAATTACCACCACGTCACTTTTAAGATCGGTTACCTTGTAACCGATCGTAAAACTCCAATTTTAAATTCAATTTTTGCACTAGTGTTAACTGGTGTAAAATATATATAGTTTTTGTGTCGATTAAAAGAAGCAACATAAAAAATTCTAGTTTAAATCTCCCTCGCAAATCAGAAACCTCATTAACGTTGTTCTATTTTTCCTCCCAAAATCACTCTACTAGGCCCAACGACTTGCCACCACCTCCTTTGACATCCAACGATATCAACTTTGTTTCCCAACACCAACACCTTTCCTTTGTCTCGTACCATATTTCTATCATTGACAAGCTCATTGCAGTGCTTCTCTGCACATTCGTGCCATATTGTTTCTCCTGGGTATTCATTGTTGTCATTCCACAATAAAAAAAAGTATTTATATAATGATAAGTATTTTATAGTGACACATTATTTTTTATTAGAAATTATTTTTTATATATTATAGATATAATATATATTGATAATTTTTTTTAAAATGTAAGTATATATAATTTATGGTAATATAGTTGAATCTCATTTAAAATCAATATTAAAATTGTGTGTAAGTGTATATTAAATAAATTTATACATGCTTATATAATATTTATAATGATATTTTTTATATGTCACTGTTGCATTTAACATTTATTGTGATGTTTGATTATTTCGATTGCCTCTATATACTCTATTGTTAGACATGATGATGTGTTCTTTATGAGAAATCTTTTGAAAATATTGTTGGATGATGATATAAATGAGTTGGAATGATTATGGCTGATTTGGATTATTTAATAAAATTTTATTAAGTTTTGAGTGCGTACTAAGGAAGACATATCTCATTAAGCGCAACTTATGAAATTTAGGAAATTATGAAGGGGTGTTAAGATCTATAAATCCATGCCAAGTTGATTATACTTCCTTTATTTTTCTTTTTAGATGTTTTGACACTAATTTTTTTTTTCAATTTTTATTGTTACTTTTTTAAACTAATTAATGACTTATTAATTTTTTTTTACCCTTGATAATTAATGTGTGTTTATTGAACAATATGTTTATTCATTTCTAATATATCTATTTTTTCTCCAACTACCTAAAGGGTATAATAGGAAAGTAAGTAATAAATATTTTTAAAAAATTGAAATATCAATTATTTTCTTTATTTTTGTGCATAAATCTTAAACGTAAAAAAAAACGAAAGGAGTAGTTTTAAGGACACGTTGAATGGCCACTAAGTGTAGTGACTCTACACCTAAAACCTTCATCATTTTTTTTGGAAAATATCATATGAACATCGCTGACTGTAATCTATTCATGTTATATGTTTGATATTTCCTATGGAGTAGTAATAAAAATCACAAATGTTAATTTTTGGACTGATCGACCATTTTGAAATTATTTATATCTGAGATTTTTTTACTGTAGATTCACTATGATGTGTCTTTTGCTTTTTTTTTTTACTTCCATTGTGACTCAACTAAAGTCATTACCAGCAGAAGCGTCGCATAGTGTCTTTTTTATTTCATGAACTTGCTATAACCTATAATGACTAAAATAAAATAAAAATATATTTTTTTAAACTATTACAGATAAGAATTTTATTTTATATTTAAGAGAATCATTATGGATCGATACCTTTTATTATTTTTTGTAAAAAAATTAATTTATTTAAAATTAATTATTTCTTATATTTTTTAAGGCTAACATTGTTTCTTTTAAAAAATGAAGTAAAAAATAAATTCAATTTTCAATATTAAATATATAATTAATATATATATATACACGATTATAAATATAAATTTAATAATGTAGGTTAAATCTTTTACTTTTATTTTAATTAAAATAAAAATTTAACAAATTATTAAATTAATAAAAATATTAAATAAATATCTTTTACTAAACTCGAAATGAGAAGGATTTTGGCCTTGCAACAATGAGAAGAGTGTGACTTTTCATCACATTGGTAGCAGAGTCCTTTGTTGCATCAGAATTGGAGTTCCTCCGATGAGAGGTGTTTGAGCTTGACACGTGACCCTAATGATGTGGTAAAGGGTAGCAGTGGGGACAGGGTTGACGAGTTGGAGGGACGAAAGGCACAACGATGGTCATTGATCTTTTCTTTATGAAGTTGCGTAAGCGTTGTGGCCTGAGGAAGTGAGACAGGTTGCATGGCCCGCACTAATACCCGATGGAGTTTTAGCGTCAAATCAGAAATTGAGCAACTCAAGAGAAAAGATGGCACCAACCTAACAATGGGATTGGTGAGGCATTCAAACTCATGCAAGTAATTATTGATGGGTCATGTTGGGTTAACTTGAAGAGGGTGCATGTAGGATCATCATAGAAGGATGGAGCAAAACGAATCTGCAATGCCTGCAAAAACTCGTGCAAAGAGGTAATAAAGTCGTTACGAAACATC